CCTGTAAGAAGACCTGAAGGATGGGGTTGAGGATACACTTTTGGAGAAGGTGGTATGTATGGTTGCTAGTAGCCAACACTGATTTGATGTCATATAATCAGTCAATCTATTATTATTCCTAGATTAATATTACATAAGGTTTAAGTAATGTGTAGTATAATTTGTGTGAAAGCACAACCAAGGGGCTCTTTTTTAACACAGTCTTGCCTTCTGCTCAGGGCTCTTGGATCAGAGCAAAAATCATGGTCTTGTCGCTAATATGTTCCTCTCCACTATTATAAATAAATGACTAGTAACTCACAGTAGCTGAGAAAATCAGGTCAGGATCAGAGATTTGAACAAGCCCAGACTTGGAGTAGAGTGGATTCATTTGTGGCTTGCTGTCTCCCAAGTAAATGTACTTCAAATTGACCTGCTCTGTCTTGGAATTTGGATTTCCCTATGTTTGATACATCCTTCTAGTAAATAAACAAATCAGAGGTCTTCTTTTCTGATATAGTATTATTTGCTAAAAGATTAGTTGGCTACTTTCTTCCCCTGCTGAAACTTACAAGGAAACCAGGAAAGAGAGAACACAGTAAATACAATTTGAATTACCGTACTTTTCTCTTCCCAGACAATAGGTAACTGCTGTTGATTTTTTTTTTTAAAAAAAAAACATGCTCTTACTGACATAATGAATCAAGCTCTCCAATTCTTTTTAGCGGAGAGAACTGTTTCTAAAAGCTCATCAAGCTGTCAGTCTATTTATCAATGATATGTGCTTTATCATACCAAATAAGTCAGCAGGAATTCACACACATACCCTGACAGAGTCAGATGGTAGTCCCAGTGGGTGTTTTTTCCTCCCATGGAAAGCTTGGGAAAGCAGAACTTCCACAAGAGTCTAACAATACTTTGGAAGTGCTAATCATGTGTTATGGGAAACAGGACTTCTCAGCCACATCTGCCTACTGAGTAACTGGGTCCCTGTGGTCTGTCTGCTTCAAATTGGAACCTCTTGTGGCTTGATTGCCTTGGAGGGTGTGTGTGTGTGTGTGTGTGTGTAGTCTGAAAAATCTTGACTTTGTTCCAGTTCCAGTTATAAATGTATATTTGTGTCCTGTGGGGAAACTCTACATATTTTGCGCATTAATCAAAGAACACCAGTCAGCAGAAGGGCAATCAATTGCAGCACAAAGCAATCCTCCTTTTTTGTTTGGAAAGAATGTGTTGCATTTCATTGATCTGAAGGGATTAATTCTTTTTTCTTTTTAAGGATAAACTTGCTCTCACGGAAGAGGGCTCAACAATGTACCAATTAAATATTGCTTCACTATAAAATTCCAGCTGACATTTTTCAAATAAATCCTTTTTTAAGAAAAATATTCTTCCAATAGAAGCTTTTCTTTTCTCAGTGCATGGTTTTATGCTCTTCTCTAAATGTTGATTTTTCAAATAGATGAAAGAGATTTCTGCTCTTCAACATTCTGACATATTACATTCAAGCATCTTTTTAACACATGAGCAGATAAAAAAACAATGATCTATACTGGTATTTAATGTAGGCTTGTCCTCCCTGATTTGCCCTCTGATAATTATGTGGGAAATCCAAAAATGGACAGGAGGAGGGGATTATCTGAGTAATTTAATTACTTTGGAAGGTTTCATTCACAGCCAGCTATGTAAGCCAAGAGTTTACATCCAGAGTTCCACAAGGGATAAACGTGGGATCAATATAAATTTTTCCTGGCTAAAATTAATCATGAGCCTCTCTTGGCTTTTGTACACCACATTTTATAAGGACTTGATCCAAGCAGCATCCTGAATGATTGGTTCTTGAAAAGGCTTGGTGAAATAACCAATGGCCAATAAAACAACAAGAATATCAGTAACTAATTTTGATGCCTAATAGGTTATAAATGAATAGAATGAGCCCGTGTTCTGTAATAAATGGTATCTTAATGTCTGAACTATTTTGTCATGATGGAAGGAGAGGTGTAACAGATCTCAACTTCTTCCATTACAATACTTCTGTGTTTGCAGTGCCTTAGATAACACCCAGTTTTTTCTTAATTCCTGTTTCTTCCTCCTCTTTGTACAGGCAACTCTCAACTTTTCCTCCTTGTTTGAAGAACTTTTCCCTTCTACTCACTTGTCTGCTTCCCAGGGCAAGATAGCAAAGCCTTCTAAATCCTTTTGCCTTTTTGCTGTAATTGTACCTTGAATTTTAACAGCCTCAATATTCATCTTATAAATTTACAGTACCTGTATTTGTGTTCTTCTGTCTCTAAGGCAAGGGTCTTCAAACTTGGCAAGTTTAAGACTTGTGGACTTCAACTCCCAGAATTCCTGAGCTAACATGACTGGAGGAGGAATTCTGGAAGTTGAAGTCCACAAGTCTTAAGCTGTCAAGTTTGAAGACCCCTGCTCTAAGGTACCATTTTGTTTCCTTATTTAGATAACTGGCTCCTAGTTGCTCATTTTTACAACAAGCTATTTTGTCATCTAGTTCAAGCTTTTCTGGACTTACAATAACTTGGCCTTTTATGAAGCAATTGTTAGAAGTCTTCTTTTTTATCTCTTTCATGGATCTTTCAGTTCTTAGGGATGGTGGTAGATATCCCTAGAAGCATCTTAACATTATTAAATTCCCTTATGCTTTAGAGGCTTTTAGTCAAGATCTCCATAACAAGAGTGAGAGCCAGAATTGGTCCCCAATTAGTGAGCCTTATGGTGGCTGCAATCTCACCCTACTTGGCTATGCACCCTATAGAGTGGTACAACAATTCTACTTCTCAGGGTACAGATATAAGAGAGATTCTCTAGTATTGGAGGCTTTGCCAAACAAATAATGATCTTTCATTTATTTGGGAAAGGGAATGTTTTGTTACTTTAAAAAATCATCGACAGTGTCTATTTTGACTGAATTTTTAACAGGTAATGTTTCTGTAGGTTATTTTAAGTAGGATTTTCCCTTTTTCTAAAACTTTTTATTTTATTAGAAAAAAGTTAAAATCTAAGAGTCTTGTTTTAGATGTTAATCTCTTAATACAATTAACAAGTAACTATAGAGAAATATTTGTGGGAGAACAAGTGTAAATTCTAGGCTAAGTATCTTTTTAAAAATATAGGAATTTTTATTTATCTTTGTATTGGACAACTGTTTTAGTTGATATATGAATGGAAAGATATCTGACTCAAGTCAACAGATTTAGTCTGGATTTTTTTATAACAATTCTACCTTTGTTCTTCATTGAGTACTTTGATACAATTTGCCTTTTATTGATTAATAATATATCTAGGTCCTGTTAAAATCTTTCTTTGCTGATGTAGAATTTGCTTTGCTGTGCATGGCACAGAGTACTAAATGCAAATGGAAGAACAGAGGCAGGCAGGAATAGCAATAGCACTAACATTTAAACTGATATAGTAAATAGTATTGAATTCAAGCATCTACACTTAAATTGTATTAATGCTGGTCCAAAACGTATATGCTGCCCATGTTCAAAGAAATGAGAACATTAGCCTTTTGTGTGTGTATGAAAATACATCCAAACCTCAGTTCAGTTCATCAAGAATAAAATCATAATTTGACAAAAAAAAGGATGATTCCTTTTTTGTTCCAAATGTAGGCTTGAAGTCATGCATTCAAATTGCAATTTATTTATCTAGACATTATTTTGACTCAATTTCTGGAAAACAGTGAACTGCCTCAGTGCATGTTTCTTTTTGGATGGAGTAAAATTGAGGGCTAAATAGGGCAATGTAAAGCACAGCAATTTACAGCTAGTTTTTGAAGCGACATCAGGAACTGTCCATTGGGAGCCTCTTGTCATGTCTTGTTCTTGTAAAAAGCCAAGCTGAAGTTCATATTCTAACAAAGAATGGCCTCACACTGTTTTGTACATAACAGCCTCACCCTCCTGTCTTTAGTTCACTGGAAAACACACAGTGTATGTTGATAAATAGCACAGCAGTATTTTTAGAGAGTAATCTTATCATTATTTGAGTACAGCAAGACACCAAGAACCTAATCTCTACTTGTTAAATGAAGGTCATTCCAGAGAGGACTGTGTCTTACATGCTATCCTGGTTAAAAGTGACGAGGATAATGAAAATATAATTTGTTATTTAGTATGTATTGTTTGTTATGAATTGAAATGTTTCCAGATGCAGGAGACCCACAATTAAATGGAGTGGTGTTTAATAAGACTGTGGAACAAATTTTTCCCACAACAATATCAAAATGAGGTATCTTGATTTAACTTAGCAAAACCATCTTAGTAGAAGCCATCTGGGGAAATGCATCAGTGTAATTGTGTGGAACTAAATAAAGCAAGATATTAGGGTCTCTCAGGACCTTGGACAGATCCTTTAGGCAGGTTTCTCCCCCTCCCCAATGCACACAACACACACACAAAACTTGGGAAGTTGTCCCAGCAGGATGAAAGGATTTCTAATATGAATGTCTTCTTTTACCTACTTCCTCTGAAAAACGAGCTGTATCTCTTAAAGGTCTAATGGTATATTTTGTACTGAGAAGATGTGTGATGAAGACTGAAGATCCCAGTAGAGCCATGTTCACTTGGTCAAATGATGCCCACCACCACAAGTCATATTCTTATCTGGGGTGAAAATGGGAAATAGTCTCCAGAAAACAACAGGAATTAAGTGATCAGTTGGGCACACACAAGAACTTCATCTTAATGAATCATATATTGCTGTTATTCTTAAAGTTTGTTTTTTAGCTTGCATATCAGGGCCAACATGGCCTTTTATTTTATATCCGAGAAACCTGTAGATATGCAGGAGAGGAAATGGAAACTAGAAAAGGCAGAGTTAATTTGGTAGGAAAAACTAAGGTTTTAAAATGTTGATTCTAATAAATAACAGAGTTGTGATATTAGCGTTTTGTTTAATCCATAAACTGTTTTGAGAGGACACTGCAGAAGACATCCAGGCAAATGGAAGTGACTCTGATTTTTTCCTATATATTTTTTCTTTATTTTCTGTTTCAGGAACAAGAAGATCCTAACAAGCTTGCTACAAGCTGGCCAGACTATTATATTGATCGCATCAATTCCATGGCAGCAGTAAGTAGCCTCTTTACCCTCCTGAAATGGTTGTCTTGATCTGTCTAACTCTGCTTGATCTTTTCATCCACCTAATTCTTAGGAATAATCCAGCTTCCCCACCTTGCTACATTTTCCTAAATTGTAAATAGTCACAAAGCTTTTAAGCCAATGGTGCAACTGCTACCAAGGCTTTCAGTGGCATGTCAAGGATAGTAGTCCAAAAATGTGTTGGTCAAAGCCTATTTAAGGAGAATTTCAGGAGTTCTAAGGCATGAGGGCTTTAGACTATTCTTTTGCTCTTTAAATCTCCTAAATCATGTAAAAATGCAAAAAAAAACCAACAACCCCAAAACCTCTGACGTTTGGCCTTACTTGGAGAAGGGGGATTAGAAAAGAAAAGCCTATGGCTCCCAATCAGCACATTTGCACTCCATCTTTAAGCTCAAAAATTTGTGAAGAGGAAATGAAAAATGGAGGTGCTAGCTAGGAACTCAATTCTACCCTTCCATATTCATTTAAAGGGGGCAAAATCAGCATGCCTTTTATCTTTCTCTATATTTTTTAAACTTAAAAAAAGGCTTTTTCAGTCATCTTTAATAACAGAATAACAGAGTTGAAGGGACCTCGGGGTCTAGTCAAACCCCTGCACAAGCAGGAAACCCTATACTGTACCATTCCAGGCAAATGGCTGTCTAGTTTCTTCTTGAAAGCCTCCAGTGATAGGGCATCCACAACTTCTGAAGGCAAGCCATTCCACTGGTTAATTGTTCTCGCTGTTATGAAATTTCTCCTGAGTTCTAGGTTCCTTCTCTCCTTGATTAGTTTCCATCAATTGTTTCTTGTCTTACCTTCTGGTGCTTTGGAGAATAAGTTGACCCCCTCTTCTTTGTGGAATTCCTTCAGATATTGGAACACTGCTATCATGTCACCCCAGTCCTTCTTTTCACTAGACTAGACAAACCTAATTCTGTTATTCATATGTTTTAGCCTGCAGCCCCCTAATAATCTTTGTTGCTTTCTTTTGATACAATCCAAAACTTTCAAACTATCTGGTTATCTTTCTGTTTTCTGTCACCTCAATATATCTAGCTATGGATCTGTGATCCCATGGTTCCACCCTCTTCCTAGCCATTTGAGGACTATCCTGATCATTTTTTGGCCTGTAAAACAAATGAATAGTTCATGCCTTTGCCAGATTCAGTGAGAGGCAAGGAAAATAGGCATGTTTTGGTAATTCTTAGGAATCACTTCTCTCACCTTGTTCTGAAACACATGAAGCATTTGGTGGAATGGGTCTTTGTATTTCTGTGTACTTATAAACATATACAAACAAGGGAGGAAATGTCTTTGTATACATGTTGTACTCTGACAATAAAGGTAATTTAAAAAATATGATAATCATTATTATTACCATCTTTCTTTCCTCCCCTTTCAACAATATAAAATAGTGAAGAGTTCAGGCATTCTTCTTTCTGTCTTCAGTAGCCTGAACTTAATAATGCAAGCCCCTTGCCTGCTTTATGAGAAGAAAGAAAAGTTACTTTTACACCACTGTGTTGCTTTTGGAAACTTGTCAGTACTTGTACTCCAAGATATATTCATTTTGTTAGAAAGGTTTGCAAACGAATGACTGAAGCTACTCTTTAGAACCGTGACTACCCCCAAACCTATGATGTGTGTGTGTCAAAGGCCAAGAAGACAGCTGTTACGCATTTAAATTTCATAATTTAGAAATAATTTACTTGGAACATAACAGCTTGATGGAGCAGAAAAGAAAATATATCTTTCAGCACACCTAACTCCACTTTGGATAACTTTCAGTTCAACCCATTTCTATAAACAACGGGGACAAAGAACAGGCAATGCATGAAAGTTAATGTATAGGCAGTAGTTCCTATAAGAATGATGTCAGATGTTCCACTTTCCTTGTTCAGGTGTCAGAGTCACTGGATGAGGAGTTTTGCTATTTTTTAAAAATGTACGTTCACAAATTAGCTCTAAATTATTTGGTATATGGCTCTTCCATCTTTATGAATAAATCCCAAAAGCAAAACCTGGTAGGAATAAGATTAGTTCCTTAATGGCAGTCACTACTGGAGAGAGATTATCTATAAGAGTATTTGGGGATGATTGGTTTTTGAAATGTTTAAATTTCATTTTGATAGAATCCTTAAGTATTCAGTAACAGTAACTCTAAGAAAAAAAATAAAATTTCACTATAACTTGTATTGGCAAAGGGTACTTGTGAGTGAGCCAAGAGAAGAAATATTACTTAATAGAAGAAAGCACAGATTAAGATCCTTTTATTTTCTGAAAAACCTTCCACTGAGATTGATTATTTTTTTTAAGAAAACCTCTTTTTCTTGCTAGCTTTTTAACATTTGGTTTAATTTTTTTAACTTTCTTGCTGTGAAGGGCTGTCCTCTCCATTAAGAGAGACAATAACATGTTTGGATTTAGTGGACTGAATTTGACTTTCCAAGGAAGTCCCTCTCAAAGGTTTATTCCAAATCTCTGGGCCAGTTGAATAGCATACATTACAAAGGTCAAATTACTTCACTGACTGACCATCCTGAAGTTTAGACTTGTGTTGGAATATCCAACTCTGGGTTCTGTAAGCTGCAAACACAAAGTGAGATGGAAAGTTTTGGGGGAAAGGAGCAGGATATAAAGGGTATGAGTGAAAGAAAAAAAATGAATGGAAACTTTATTTGAAAAAGTTGTTCTTTTGTAACATGCTACTGTAAATGTCTGAGGATATTGGTGTTTTTTTTTAAACTTTTTTCTTTTTACAGTTATTTAAAATCAGCTGCAGCGGAAGAATGAAATATACAAAGAAAATTTAATCATGTCTATTTGAAATCCAAACTTTCAAAATCAGAGAGGCTTCCTAGAAAGTAGAAAGTTTTTTCAGCTCTGTTTATTATTATTATTATTATTATTATTATTATTATTATTATTATTATTATTATTATTATTACCTTTATTGTCAGAGTACAACATGTGTACAATGAGATTGACTGAGCCTCCCTTTGTGCACCCCCTCCACACAACTCACAGTGAGGATAGAAGTCCCTAACCCAGTCCCAATCTTATTACATTATGTGACCTTGTTGCACAAGGTTGCACTTGCCCTGCAAGTCTGTCATACTGTGTTGACATGAAGTTATTTTCTATTGCTGAAGATTTTGTTTTCTTGACAACATCCAAATGATTTCTTCAACTTAATTGGGCGGGTAGTGCTTGATTAATCTTGATTTACTCAGTAATGCCATCTCTTCTCCTGTTCTGAATTCGTAACTCTTTCATGGTCTCATCCAAACAGATGCAGACCCTGTATGCTTTTGATGAAGAGGAAACAGAAATGAGGAATAAAATAGTTGAAGACTTGAAAACAGCTCTGCGAACTCAGCCCATGAGGTATGTCGTATATTTTGCTTCCATTTGTCAGATGCTTTTTAGGTTAGAACTGTCTATCATGGAAAAAAATGTAAGATACAAGATAATCCCTTCCCTTGTTCTCAAAGTATCATGTACAGCAGGCTAATTGAAGATACATTTTATTTTCTTTTGGTATAAAGTTTTAGAATGGAGCTGATAGAGGAGTCTGTCATCTTCCACCTTCTTTAAGTATATCTAAGCTCAGATCTCAAACAATTATATACATTTCCCTTTCTAAATTTATTCTTCTTTGTCACTTTCCACCTGAACCATATGGAATATTAAAAATCTCCCCCCCCCCCAGTTATTTTTTGACCTACAAATTCTTCTGCCTTTCTGATAATCTAGTTCATACTTTCATATGTTAACTCTATATACCTCCTTTCTCCACGTTGCTTAAATCTATTCTGGGTCTCACGGCTTTTAAAATCCCAATACTTTATTATTACCACTTTGTGAAATGCTGAGCTTCTAATATATAAAATGAGAGAAATAGAAGGAAACATGGGAAGTTTGTACATAGAATCAGGAGTGGGATTATACCTGGTCGGAGCAGTTCTATAGAACTGGTTGTTACGATTCTGCGCAATTTGGGGAACTGGCAAATTACGCCACTGGCTGGCCCCTCCTCTCCCCTCGCACTCACTCCTTACCTGGCATGCGTGCCATCAAACTTGCCTGTGTTTGGTAAGTTGCTATTTTTCCTCCCCCCCAACCATCAGCTGTTCTGTGTGCCAGGAGATTTAGATTAGTTAGAAAGCAGGAAATTGTTGGATTTCTTGCTTTCTAGCTAATCTAAAAGCAGAGCTGAACCTTCCTTAGGACTGAAGCTTCTATTTTTCTAGTGCAGACTCAGGTAACAGATTGCAGAAAGATAGATCTCTGAATGAATCTGTGATTCTGCAAGCAGCTCAATCTGCCTGCCTGCTTTGCCTGATTTTGGGTAAAAGTTGCTCCCTTTTTAAATAAAAATTTCAATATTTACATAAATATTTATAACATCTACATGCAAGCCACGCTGAGCCAGTCACATGACCACCAAGCCATGCCCACAAATTAGGCCACGCCCACAGAACCAGTTGTTAAGAAATTTGAATACCTGCATAGAACTTGATATAATCTGAAGTCCTGCTAAATTCCATTTGTGTAGGCTATACACACTTGTTGCACAGGATAAATCTCATCCGGTAGAATCTTGAAATGTTAGCATAAAATATCAGGCAATCTTCTTTTAGTTTTCTGCATGAATCGTTAGAGTTGTGCAGAGATTTGTAGTCAAAAAATTGCTTTTCATTTTGGTTCAGTACTTCCATGATAGAATCTTTCTGTATATCAAAGATGGAGAAGTCACAGAGGACGTAACCAAACATGCTTTCCTCTGTTGCTGATGTAAGGTTTTTAAAAACAGTGATACAATACTGAAAATTATTGATTAATCAGCCTCATCAACCTCTTTTGTCCCAATAAGTTATTCCATAATAGGCAGTGGATCTATCTGCCACGTTAAAAATGTCCATAACGTGTATACTATATATAGTTTCCTATCATCCTTTTCTATCATGCCAGGAAAGACATTACTAATAGGACTGGCTGTTTTTCTGAAACTTTTCAGAGTTCATTTGGAATTTTTTCCAGATAAGTCCAGCATTACTTTGGCTAAAGACCTCTGACAGCAGGCATTTATTTCCTTTGTTTATAACAGCTGTAATGAGTGTCAGCAGCAGCCGCCACAAAGTATCACATAAAGTCTTTGCTTCTAAATTTCTGGCTGCAGCCCTGAGGGCTTATCCTCCCCCCCCCTTTTTTTTTTTCTTTTTTAGCAATCGCCAAGCCAAATTTCAAGTTAAGTCTCATAGCTCAACTGATTCCAGGGACTCAGTTTGCTTATTGCAGGATTGACTATATGCCAACGCTCATTATCTAAGCCAGTTTGGTCTTTAATGGAAAATAGAGGTCCTCATGGCTCTATCCAGTTCTTTTTGATAGAAAGTCCCCCAAGATATTGGTCTTGGAATCAAAGAAGGATGGTTGCTGTTTTGTAATGCCAGTTTGAAAGCCTTATAATCACACCTCTGGCTGAACCTGGAGTAGCAATAAACTTGCCTTAGTGTTCACATTTGAATATCTGGCAAAATTGAATATGTTTATGGCATATACTCACCCATAAAATTAATTTTATGCATTGTTTATGTAGCTTGCTAGCTGATTCCGTTGTAATTAGGTTTGTATCATTCTTTGCCACATAGAAGTCAAACTTTGCTCTTAGGACACCTCATAGCTCAGAAATAATCACAACATATTAAACACATCTGCAGAAACTTTCTTGTTTCCAACATCACCCTTGGACACTGGTGGTAGAAAATTTTAAAAGGAGGGAGGAGGTAAACTTCCTGTATATCTCATACAAGCCTTTCAACTGACTTAGCTGCTGAATTTTGAACTTTCACCAAATATTTCCAAAGTGTTTCTACATTTGGTCCAGAGATGTTCTTGACTTTAGGGCTACGTAGATCTTCAAAAGCCATTTTGCTTCATCAGAGATCCAGTACTAATTAGCTAAATAAGCAGTGCCATGCAGAGAGGAAAGGTTACACCATCCCTACTCAGTTTAGGAAGAATTATGAGCCAGATTATCTTCGCCTTGGTGCCTTTTCTATCTTAAGGTAGAAAAATGCAGTACTGCAAGGGATTCTGCTGCTCGTCAAGACAGATCACCTATAACGGTTGATTGTATTTGTTCATTTTTAGTTGATTCAATGATGTCTCTAAAGTAATAAGAAATTTGAGCATGCAAGTAGCTGGCCATATTCTAGAAATAAAAAAGTCTACATCAATTGTACTCAAGGCATTCTCCAGTATATTTAGTGAAATTCCATTGTTCTTTCAGATGGTTACATGGCCACAAGAGACACCACATTAATAGATCTGCCTATTTTTCCTTTATAAGAAGAGTTTGAGGTCCAAACTGAACTCAGATGTATTTTGGTAAAGTGAGTGGGTCCTTTGGTATGAAAGGTAGATTTTTACAATAAAGTTGATTTTTAATAGTAGCTGTTGTACATATCTCCAAGTCTGGTACAACTGAACTATAGAAGTGCTTTAGCAATTAGAACCAATTCAGCAATTACAAAGCATTCAGTCCCACTGCTTAGGGAAGACCTGACAATAACATGAAAGGAACAATTGGAAGAGAGTGAAGATTTCCTTGTGCATCGGTTTTAACCATCAGCAACTATGATTATAGAAAAATCAGGTTTTGAAACACAAGGGGAAATATGTAGTGCTGCTTCTGTTAATCATCAGTTACCTTGGCAAGTCAGCATGTTGTGGAAAAGAAAAAGTTCTAAATAGAATAGGCAGAACTTAGCTGGACTTTTGTTAAAGAGTGGACAAAATGGAAAAATATCAAGAAAACTTGTTTTCTTTTAGCCAATATAGGCTTCCATCATCTGGTTAAAAAAAAAGTCATTGGAAAATTGTGTTTTATTTTAGCATGCCTTTGTCTTATTCTTCTCATGAGCTCTGCTAGATGAAACCTATTTCAATTCATATTATAGGTGGGATATAAGACCAGGATTTTTCAGTGCTGAAAAATCATAATAACTCAAATAAAAATGGAATGGAATAGCAGCTGCCAGTTAGGTTTAAGGTATGCTGGGAATTATGACATACCTTTTCCACAGAATGAGATATGAATGAAACTCGAAGAAACGATTCTGTAGGATATTTTTAAATCCTGTGTCCATAAAGAGCACAAACTTTGTTAGTCAAAGGTTTCATTTTGAATAGTATGCCAGTAACTGTATTCCAAGAAGTGAATAGAGAATAGAGGAAGGCTTAAACTAAATACATTTTTATCTAAACTAACCATAAATTTAATTTCAAGATGCATGTTGAATCAACCATAGGTGTCATTTGTTGGACTAGGAGCAACATTGTTCAAATTGCAATGGTTGGGTTCTCAAAACAGTTAGATCAAAACTAAAAACAAAACCTGATACAGATTGGATCCTTAAAAAAATCTGTATGATGGCTTGACACAATATGCAAATGCAGCTAGTTTTTAGAGCCTGTGGAATAATTATAATGTATAGAAATATCCAAGCTAAGCGCTTCAGTCAATTAAAGTCTTATGGTTTTCTACAGTAAAAATAAGAACACAAACATATCGTAAGATGGAGAATCTGTGGTTTTCCAGGTAATTACAGAAACAATAGTTCCCAAGTGGGCATGTTGCCTATTGGGTTTTCAAGGACTGGAGGTTTTCTGCATTAAGACTTCAGAAGGTAACACCAAATGCTACTGTTGTGTGTCCGCTCCTTTGAAGCAGGTGGGAATGTTATCCTGCAAATTAGTTTTGAGAGAATGCTTTGCTTAGGGCATTGAAGCAAAGTTCCCTTTTGAAAACTTTACTAGAAGGGAAATCATAGAAGGTTCTATCATAACTTTTTCTTGGCAGTGTTAAGTTTTCCTCAAATAGATTTTTCTCCTCTCTGAAAAGCATCGAGTAATGTTTTTCCTAAACTGAAAACCCATCCATAGGTGAAAAACAGCAAAGAAATGTTAAGATGAAAATATTACTTAAATGCCAAGATTATAAGTCACACAAAGTAACAGTTACCTTTTTGGGAAATGAGAAATGCAATCCTGGAACTGGAAAGCCAAAACTAACAATAGACCAGCAAATCATTGCCATCTTCATGCTCTTTCATTGCTTATGCCAATGAAGGTTGGAAAGAATGCTATCCCAAAGTGATTTTTATATCCTGGCCATTTAATGCATTTTCTGTCTAACCATTTGTGGTATGTGTTTGCTCTTAAGCTTTGTTTGTTCGCAAAGACTAATTTTAAAGCTCAGGCTTGAACAGGTACCAAACCTCAAACTAAATCTCGTGATACTCTCAGTAAAGTTTTGGTTTTCTCCAGGCCTTCAATCAGTGAGATGAAGTTACTAAAGAGATAAGCTATGCAAGGAATCTGCCCCAAATATTACACAGTTTCTCTGATTTCCCCTTTAGGAATAAAATATAGTTATTCCAGATTTCTATTATTTGATACATTTTGTGCATATGCATTGGAAGCTCAAGTAAAATTTATAAATAATATTGTTTTATGGTCTCATCATACAGAAACACCGCAAAGTGATCTGATATTGGGGGCCACATGATATGTGCCAAATTTTAAAACTCCAAATATATGAAACAGACCTGGATATTTGCACAGTTATGCCCCAAATGGTTGTTTCATGGAAAATGTATTGGTTCCATCTTAGTTTTGAATTGTTTTATTCTGCTGCAGACCATTTGAAATGTACCTCTCGGTATCAGGTTTTGTTTTTGTTTTTGCAATTCATTTATTTTTTATTTATTTATAGACAACTTTAGACTAGAAGAGATATATTGTCAGTTGCACACATTTGAATTTAACAAGGAATATTTGTTGAGTTTTGATTTTTATTGTCTTAAGGTGTTCTGTTGTTGGACGTTTCAAGAAAAGATTGGGAACCATTTGTCCAGGATGGTATAAGGACTGCTGCTTTGAGCAGGGGCTTCGACTAGAAGACCTCCAAGGTCCCTTCCAGCCCTGTGATTCCATGATTTTAAAGTTGTCCATCTTTGCATCCCCTACCACAAATTTAACTCTATACTATACCAACAGAAAATATTGCTCAGACTGTTTTTTAATTGTGTGTTGCAGAAACGTTCAGCAGGAATTCCTTAGATGCATCTGTTCTGACCTAGGCTTCCCCAAAAAGCACTAAGCCGACTCTTTGTCTCGGCAAAATCCCTTTTATTAAATGAAGGTGAATGTCTTGCATTCACATTCAGCCAAAGGCCTGGCAAACAGTCTTACAAGGTGTAATTAGGAGCACAGACCTTATCTAGCTTGGAGAGCTGCCAAGTAAATATTTTCAAACGCAGTGCTGACAAGGAAGGACTTGGCACGGAGTCTCTGAGATGCACAGACAGACCTTCACAGTGCTTCAGTGAATGACTTGTTTCTTGCAAAAGCCCCTTCCCCTTTTGCTCCCCTTTTAATCCTTATGGTAGGGGCCATTCACCGTCGACCTGTGGCTTTACTCCCACATCAACCCTTAGTTCGTAACTGTTCTTTTCTTTTGGCTGGCTCCAGCTGCTGCCCCACCTCACTGTTGTCTGACTCCGAAGGCAGCTGATAACTGCCAGACTGCCCTGGCCTCATCTCTTCCCCTGACGCAGAGCCCTCGTCCGAGCCTTCCTCAGCCTCCAAGATTGGCCCATGTTCCTCCCCAAACTCTGACTCTGCTGCCAGCTCCGCTAGCCACCAGCGGGCCACAACAGTATCGTTTCCAGATTATTAACTCCTTTCTTATAGGTCTTTATAAAGTGGCCGTGCCTTACCATGTCTTGATTAATTAAGTACACTGAAGCAGCTCCTTCAAGTAGCAGTGGCAAATGAAAGCTCAGCCATTCAGTTTCATGAGTGGTATGGCCACCTCTGCATCACTAGCAAGTACCGATATCAAGAGGTTAGGTTTCATGGCTATCCATGTTCTTAAATCTATGTAGTATTATAATGATGCAGGAAACGATCAGACATTGTAAACAGTGGAATAGAAAAAAAAATGAAATTCTGAAAGATCAAAGATTACTAAAGTTTCCATTTGTTGTAGGGAAACTGCTTAAATACTGCTTGAGGTCTTTTTATAAGTATTTGTAAGGGGGGAGGGAGGGAGAGGGAGATTGTGTGTGTGTGTGTGTGTGTGTGTGTGTGTGTGTGTGTGTGTGTTCCACAGAATTCTAGGGGGCTTACAACAAATCAAGTAAAACACATCATTTTACGCCATAGAAATAGAAAACACATGATAGCAGGAAGGGAAAAAACAATAGCAAACAAATGAATTTCAACAGCATATAACAAAAATAGCATGTGATAAAAACAGTAAAGAGGATTAGAACTAAAGGCCTTCCTAAAAATAAGCCATCACCAGCTCCTGGAAGATTGTTGGTGAACAAATGAAATATGCCTCTTGAGAGGAATTCTAAAATGTTTATACAGCTATCCAAAAATCTCTCTTAGGCAATGTAGGAATTCACAAGAGACTCAGAACTTGCAAAAGAAATCTTGATATGCAGGGCAGATTAATTTTGGGCAAACTGGTCCTTCATAGATCATGACACTACCTTTTCAGGTTCTGTGCATAACTGCATATGGAGCTTCAGGCTTTCCTCTCCCTCCCAAATTGTCAAATATACCAGAATTTCAGCATTCATGTATGGTATATTTAAGATGTAAGAATGAATTGGGGAACTTTTGGGAAAAAGCCATCTTGCAAAGTTAGAACCATTTAAAAAAGGTACCATTTGAATATAATGTGGCAGTGTTAAGAAGGCTGTTTGGGGGATCAGTGGACTCTCTGACTCTCATGATATCATTTTATCCCAAGCAGCACACTGCCAGTACCTGTCAGCTTGAATTGATTGAATTGTACCTGGAAACAAATACATACATTTGAATAAAATAAGGTGCCTTGTTTCCAGATAGATATTTTAAGTGTTAAGAAGTAATTTTCTTTTATTTTCTCTTGTTCTGAATATCCTATGATAAATTATTTATGAGTAGTATGATTCCCACCCACCCCCATTTCCACTTTATTAGGTACATAGTATGGTTGGAAAAATGCCTATTTTAAGTTCTTGAGCTATATTTATAGGTAACTGTATCATGTCATGATTGCAATAGCCATTTTTCTAATTGAGTGAATGCTATCTAATCTAAAAGAAAGATTTAAATATAGATCTTTCTCTTGAGTTTGACTATTGAGGATATAATTGTTTTTTATTTGTAAAGAAGCATATTTTAAAGAGAATTTTCAGTTAATTGAAACTTTATAGGTTTAATATTCTCATAAATAAGGAAAATGTAACTATATGTAGATAAATAGTGGGCAATAGTATTTTATCTATTTTAGTAGATGGTCTGCAGTTTAAAATCAACTTGGTACATGTTTTTAATTTTCATTTTCTGTTGACAGAAAACTAACTTTTATGTAGTATATAAAATATACTGGGCATTCTTTGATTTTCATACCTCAGGAAAGAAGTACAAAATCAGATAGTTTGTTGGATTTGAGCTTCCATTTCCAGCTGACCGACAGTGAGGACAGTATGTTAGTTATTTTCTGGAATAGAAAGAGGATGCTTAGATAGGAGACAGTGTGGTAAAAAGACTGTTAATAAGGTGAAATGGCTTTGGGAAGAGAACAGCAAGTATTGCTCAAACATTTATCCGTGTGGAAATTGTTTGTTAGGTCAAGTGAGTCATTGCTTTTTCAAATTAAGTTATTTCAAGTCATTTATATGTGTGGTGTTGGATCCATAATGCAATTTCTCTTTGTAACAGAAAGCAGAGGGTGCTGAACAAATTTTATTCCACATACACATCTGTAAAAGGGGTTGCCCAGATCCTCAGCTATGTACACTTTAGAGTTTCCCAAATTAAGAGAAAAGGCAATTTGGTTCTTTTATTAATCTGACACCATTTATGCAAAGTGCCTTAATTGTCCTTTTTCTTTCCTATCGCTGAACAGATTCGTAGTAAGGTTTATTGAGTTGGATGGCCTGAGCTGCTTGCTGAACTTTTTGAAGAGTATGGACTATGAAACCTCTGAAAGCCGTATACACACATCCGTTATAGGATGCATCAAGGCTCTAATGAACAACTCCCAAGGACGAGCCCATGTTCTAGCCCACCCGGAAAGCATCAATATAATCTCGCAGAGCTTACGGACTGAGAACATCAAGACCAAGATTGCTGTGCTGGAGATACTTGGGGCTGTTTGCTTAGTACCAGGAGGTCACAAAAAAGTTCTACAGGCCATGCTTCATTACCAGGTCTATGCAGCGGAGAGAACAAGATTCCAGGTAAAAATGATGAATTGAGCAAGATAACCTGTAGAGCTGGTTCTTTGCATAAAACAGGATCAATCAAAATAGAGCTGGAAGGGACTTTGGAGGTCTTCTAGTTCAATCCCCTGTTCATTTCAGATAGCTCACTGTCCGGTCTTTTCTTTAAAACATCCAGTGATGAAGCCCTATAACTTCTGGTCAATTGTTCTCACTGTTAAGGAGTTTCTCTTTAATTCCACGTTGCTTCTCTCCTTGATCAGTTTACATCCATTGTTTCATATTTTGCCTTTGGAAAATAAGTTCTTTGTGGCAGAACCTTCAAATACTGGAATACTGCTTTCATGTCACCCCTAGTCCTTCTTTTCTCTAGACTGTCCATACCAAGCCTAGGGTCACATTTGGGTTATATTGTTTTGTTTAATAACCTTCCATATCTTAACTTCACAATACTACTCAAGGGAGACATTTCACCTAGTGTATGAAATCAATAATATGTAAATTCCTCACTGTGTTTGTGAGAATTTTGGTCCAGTGTGCTGAGCTACACCATTTTAGAGTATAATAAGCAAAAGAACAACTGGGATAAAAAGGTCAATCATGTACCAATTGTTTCTCAGGAAAAAGAAAAGGAAGAAAAACTAGTGAAGCTTCTCTTCCCTCTTCTTCTAGGCTTTTTAACACCAATTTAACTTTTATCTTTTGTGAACAGATAGATAGCTATCCATCTTTTCTGTCTTTTCATAGAATAAAAATGGGGCCGAGAGACATTTTTCTACATAAAAGTGATGGAAGTTTTGTGACGTAGTAACTTTCCAACTATTTATTGTCTGACAGAAATAATCTCAAAGTGTATTATCATGCAGGGCTGCCAGCCTATGGCACCTGCTGACTGCACTTGTCCTAACACTTCTTTTAGCAGTAATATTACTAGCATTACAAAATAATGATAATTAGACAATATGTATAACTATGTGCACTTCAAATTGCTTAGAAAGACTATATGGATTGAAATAAGTACCCGAACATGTGAACCAAAGGTGGATATGTAGTAACAGAGCAGTTCATGGGATGCCTAATAGCCTGAATGTTGAACACTGAATATATTTACTTAATTTGCTTTGTTTTGGGAAACACTTTTATCATATTCAGAAAACTGAGTCTGAATGTTGTGATTAAAATTCTGCCATTACGGGTGTGCAATACTTGATTGAAAGCAGGAAGAGGATTTTGGATCCAGTGTGGATGAGCTCAGTGTAGTGGCCAGGAGCTCCTGAAAAAGAACTTTTTTTTCTTTTCCTTGACTTCATTATGATAATATATTTTTGAGTTAAGGAGGCCTTAAGGAATTAGACTATGCATCATTGCTCTGTCACTTCCTTAATTCAGGCATCTGTTTTCCTAGACTTGTTTAAAGAACCAGTGACAGGTACAGGAAATGTGCTCTTGCCATATATGCATTTCACAATTTCATGAAATAGTGAAAAGAAAAACTGGAACTAGAAAATCCCTGCCTAATCTCTGTTAAACAATCTAAAAGTGAAAAATAACTTGGAAAAAAGTAATTTCTTAATTAGTATGGAATAGAATATGTGTGACTACATTTTTGACAAGTTATTGTTTATTGTTTATTATGAACCTTTAGGAAACTGACATCCTAGCTTTCCCATGAATGTGCAGAATGTGCATGTATACATGTGTAGTGTAAAAGGAGTTAAGGATGAATCTTTGCCTGATTGTTTTTTTTTAGTTCAATTATGAACATAATTTCATTTTATTGGCTTGTTTATTTGTTTTTCTGAGTCTGTGCATAACTGCCATCTTTTCTTTCTGCAAAGAGTTCCTTTCAACAGTCTAAACTTGTCCAAGGTACTTCAGGCCTTCTTTCTTTCTTTCAGTTTGGTTTCAGAAGTGCTAGCATTAGCGTAACAGACTCAAAGTTAAATCTAACCTGGCTACTTCTATCATTATGAATATTCATGCAGTAATGCTTGTCAGATTTCTGTGATTAAAACCCAGCAGTTATTATAGAAAACAAAACATCTAGTCAGCTCCAAAAGATTAATATGATAGTGTTCTAAATCAATTACTTTAAAATGTTTTGAAATTTGGATTAACTTCTTACCCAAAGTATGGACAGAGAAATGTGACGAATTATAATAGTTTTATGGATAAGGGGTGAGTTATGAAATAATACAGAAATTTTATCAGAAACATATACGAATTTTATCAGAAAAATGTCTTCGCAATATTCAGCTGTCGCAATTATAACCTTATGTATATTATAGAGAAAGTGTCATTGCTAAGGCATGTATAATTGATATCATTTTTATGTTATATTTATAACCAAAAGTATGCAAATATCTAGGAAATCCTTTAACTCCCCATTGACATTTTAGGAGGAAATGCCTCCTGTCATCTAGGCAATGTCATTTAGTTTTGCCCAGAGAATGCAATATTCCACAGGGCTTGAAACTTGCCAAGTTAAGTTAATTTCAGTCAATCATCATAGGTGTTCCTGCCTCTTCCCTTAGATATTAACTATTCAGTCTCAAACATCAGTCCTGATGTTTTACAAGTGGCTATTTGGCACTGACAGCGAAAGTGTTATTAGTGTTCTTTCTTCTTGAATAGTAAAAATGAATGATGAAAAATCCTCTCAGCCAAAATGAAAAGAAGTGAAGACAGAGTAGAAGGATTTTTTTTTTTTTTTACATTCTTGGTCTCCAACTGAAGAGGAAATTGTGGATTAATAATCCCAAGGAGGAAACATTTGAAACTCTTTCCCTTCCTAGATGAATAAAATGAATATACCTATACAGCATCTTCTTCCAATCTAGAAATTCTCTTATTAAGTAGTAAGCACAAATCTCTTCTGTTCCAGTCAGCATGGTCAACCATCTTCCTTTTTACATATGTATATAAATACATGTATGTGAATGTGTATTACAGATTCCAGAATGGAGATTTATTCCTTGATAAATTTATTCCTTGATTTATTCCTTGATATTGTGCTTATGCACAATAGACTTTTGCAATAGTGCTTTCATCAGTGTGTTAATGATTAGCACAAATAACCGTTCAAAGTCTTAATAATGTAGATTTTAATGTCTACTATAGGTCCTTAATATAGAATAGCTACCCCAAACAGTCATTCACATATGCGAATAAATGGGAACAAAAAAAGCTAATGCTTTCAATTTTGAAAAGCATGCATGATTATTTGTCTAGATGTCTAAATACACACAGAAAGTCAAAAAGAATTCATTTCTATCACAAGAGGGAAAATAACATAGTATGAACACTCCCTAACATATGAGCTATTATACTGAAAATAAGATCTACTTTGGGGAAAAGCCAACAGTTACATTGTAAGCCCCATGATCCTCTGGATAGTAGGCTATCAATTTTTTAAAACAAACAGGAAATATCTCACTTCAAGGTTGATTGCTGAGCATTAAAAGGATAACAGTACATAGGCTACCCTACAGAGTTGGAGGGATGATCCCCAGATGTTTTTGAATTCAACTCCCACATTGGCTTGAAGTGAAGGGTACCATTTTACCTATCCTTGCCGTGAAATCTCAGCTTTTCGTTCTAAATTTAAATAGAATTAAATACATAAGCTTATTCAGGCACAATCCAAGAATGCTATCCAGAAACAGTGGGGAGGGGGGGAGATAAAGCAGACAACTAACAATACTGATTTGCCTAATTACTGTGATTGAATAGAATACCCTGAGATATGCAATACATTGTTGTAGTCATGTCTACAAACTACAGTAGGTTGGTTCACACAAAATAGGTATAACCCAACCCAACCCAACCCATAGTGACCTAATGCAGCAAGAAATGATTGGGAGACTAAATGGAAAATAAATAAATAAATAAATAGCAATAGCACTTAGACTTCTCTACTGCTTCATAGTACTTTATAGCAGTCTCTTAAACGGTTTACACAGACAGTATATTACCCCCAAACAATCAGGGTCCTTTTTTTACTGACTTCGGAAGAATAGATTGTTTAATTTTATTGATTATATTGAACACTGCCCAAAGCCCCACTTCAAGACAAATGGGCAATTAAGAAATATGAAATATAACAGAATAGATCATTTTGAAAAATAATAATTATAATATAATTTTGTCCAGTCCATCTCCATAACAGAATAACAAAGTTGGAAGGGATCTTGGAGATCTTATAGTCCAGCCTTCCACTCAAGCAGAAAACCCTATACCATGTTAGACAAATAGTGTCCAATCTCTTCTTTAAAAAACAACAACAAGTTTTATTCAATTTTTCACATAAAAACAAAAAGTTCTTTTTGGTGGACAACATATTTCCTGATCATCACTTTTACATACAAATATGACAATAATTAATACATTCATATATGCATACTTAATTCTATTATCACCTTTTCCATTCCAAATTTTCAGAAAAGAGAAAAACAAACAAATTAATCCAAATCTCTTACATTAATCCAAACATCCTTTCATTTCATTTCAATTATTTCAAATATAATCATTTAATATTTTTTAAGAGTAAAAATAACAATATATGTTTGCCTAATAAAAAAAAGGTTACCAATGTCTCTCCTTCCTTTTAAGAGTCTGTATTAGTTTATTAATTTAAATAGTTCTTTAATCTGTCATATTTTCTTTTCATCATACATTCTTTCTATAAATTCTAGATTAATACAAGTTTTAACACAAGAGAAAAAGAATCAAACTTAGGTTTCTCCTCTTTTACTGCTTTGAGTGTGACACCTCAGTGGTTAAGGTATACCTTTATTCCCTCATTTAATTCCCAATAAACCTTTATTTTTAAGTAGTTACAATAATAATCATTACATCTTTTCATTTGGATTCCACAATATATTTTCCTCCCTTAATTTTATTTCTAATTTCAAAAAGGTAAAAGGGAAAAAAAATGACTATTTAATTCCTGGTTACTGATAGTGACTTCATTTTTAAACATCTTCACATTCATTTCAATTGTTACAATTTCTTCAATAAACCTTAACTTTTCTTTTAATGATAAAAATAAAAATGTATATTCATCTAATAAGAGTTATCAGTATCTATCCCTCCTTTAATAATCTATATTACCCTATTTTCTAAATATTTTTAATTGGAAATATATTCTTGTTACCCCTTGTCACCCTGCAGAATCCCCTTTTTAATTCATCAACCATTATCTCTAAAAAGACAAGTTCTTTTCATCATTTTACTATTTCCGTGTTTCTTTATTTCCTGCACCTGTTTCTTACTGCCTCTCCTCCCCCTCTTTTTCCCCATATCCTTTCTCATTACAATTTATATCCCTCTCTTTCTTGATATCTTCCTTACCCCTTTTCTGCTGAACCTTTCTACCTTTCCTGATTTCACTTTTTGATTACCTTCTTAAATCTCGACTTTTTAGCCTTCCTTCTTTCCCCTCATCTTTGTAGAGTTCTTTGTGTTAATTGTCTATTTAAGATGGCTTCTCCTTGAGCCTCCTCCTCCTCCTCTGAAGTTCTTTCTTTTTGTTCAGTCACCATTTCCATTTCTTCTAACACAGAACAAAGTGATTTGCCTGTTTCCTGTAGTAATTCTCTCATATTTTTAAGTTACATTTTTAATTCCCGAAGAGATATCATCATTACACACTCTTATATTTTATAATAGTTGAAGCCCACAAAAAACACTTTTACTTACTTTCTTTCTTCTTCAAGTTTTCTAAAGTTCTCAATTGTTCCAACCCGGGGTCTATACCAAAAACATCAATCAATCCCATGGTCAGTCTTTTCTTGCTTCTTTCTTTATTCTGGTTCAGCTTTCACTTTCTAAGATTCTTACTTTGTTTCAATATTTCTTTAACATTATATCGACACAAGTTCATACAAAAACAAGATAATTTCCCTTTTGTTTGAGTTTAAGTTTTTATCCAGAAGATGGCACTCTCTGTTATATGCAAGTCTTCACCTTTTTCCCCTATTTTGTTATTTAGGGTTTTTCGAACCTCAATATTCCAGAGCAATCCAGTCTCCAATTTGTAAATTTTATTATTATCATTTTTTGACAGTCTTAAGTCTAGCTTTATTTTATGCCTATTTGTAGCCAAAATATTTTAATCCAATTTAATTAAGTCTTTAATTCCGGCTTCTTCCTTTCCTGGTTCGAAGCCCCGCTTAGCTGTCAAATTTTTTTTTTTTCCTGTCCCTTTGTATTTTCGCCACTCACTTTTCTTTTCTTAAGAGTTCAATATTACCTTAATCCCGGGGTACTTTTTGTTTAGTTGTTTTGCCCAATTGTCCTGGCTCAGATGTTATCCACCTCTTTCTTCACTCCTGCACAAATCCTAGTCCAGCTGAGTCCTCCTCTTCGGGTTGGCCATTTTGGACCACCGCTTCAGTCGTCTTCGTGGGGAAAAAGACCAAGCCCAGTAGGGGAGATGCAGCTCCCCTCAACTGGCTGGCAGCTTCCCCTTACTCCACTGCCCCTCCAAGGCAGCTTCAGCCCCTAATCGCAATGTTCAGGGCTCTCCAACGAAAGAGCATGGACCATAGGCACGGACAGTCGTGATCTACGGTCTGTCAGCGAGGAAGGCTCAACCCGGAAGTCTGTGTCCAATCTCTTCTTAAAAGCCTCCAGTGTTGGAGCACCCACAACTTTTGGAAATTTATTTAATGTTAAATAAATAAATTACTACACTATCTTGCTATTATCACTTCTCTTGCTTTACAGACTCTACTCAATGAGCTAGACCGAAGCATGGGGAGATATCGTGATGAAGTGAACCTAAAAACAGCCATCATGTCCTTTATTAATGCTGTATTGAATGCAGGTAGTGGAGAGGTGAGTGTATGTGCTGAATTTCTTTTAATCTCTGAAAATATCTGTCAGAATTTTGTGGCATAATGAATTCTTCTCTAAGCTATATTTTCAGGACTTGAATCTAAGGGCTTTTTTCTTTCTTTCTTTCTTTCTTTTTAGGACAACTTGGAATTCCGACTGCACCTACGATACGAGTTTCTAATGCTGGGTATTCAGCCCGTTATTGACAAACTAAGAGGACATGAAAATGCAACATTGGACAGGTGAAGCAGAATGTGGGAAGCATGACTATGTTGTAATGACAAACCCAGCATAGTCTTCTAATTCAATTTAATATAGCATGGCCATTTAAAGAAAAATATATTTTAGATTAGATAATAAACAATATATGTTCTGGCACAATTAACACCAACAGTTCCAATTGTACAGTTCGCACAACATAACTAAAGTTTTATCAATATATTGTACTGCTTCCTGAGGAATCAGTATGGTTTGGCTACTAACAGACTCTAAATATTGAGGTTTATTAAATGCCTGGGAAATTAAGGAATATGTACATATGTACAAGGATATTAAACTGTTGATTTAGAACTAAATATTGCGAAGTGCTTTGAGCAGGGTTGCCTTTCAGTTGGTCTGGAAGCTGCAGTTGGTACAGAATACTACAGCTAGACTGTTGAAGGGAGCAACCTAGTGTAAACATATTTTAGTTATTCCAAAGTTTATTACTTAGTTAAGTTTAAAATGTTCGCACAAAGATTGAATTGAGTCTGACTTAAGACCTACAGAGCTTTTGGAGATTACTTGCAAGCTCGCCTATTCCTTCCAAGGAAGGATGCTGTTTTGACATGGCATTTGCTGGAATGTATAATGGTGTTCTTAATGCAGATGTTTTGGCTGTGGAATTACCGGTTCATTGTTGGTATCAAGCCTTGTAAACTTTAGGTTGCCAGCTGACATCTTATTTGTTCACCCAGGCTTTTAATTGAATCAATGCTACGATATCTCTTGCTATCTTGTTATCCTATTTTCCTCATATTCTAATATTTTATGTTTGACTCATATTTTACATTCCCACTTGATGTTTATTGCAGTTATCATGCAAGCTGGAAACTGATGTAAATAGAATGAACTAAATCATAAAATAAACTGCATGATTTAAATATATAAGGGCAATTGCCCCCTTTCCACTTGAAAAGTCTTGAAACTAGGCAATAGCTTGAGTGAGATAGTGTAGATTGGAAAACAGTTCTTCTTCAAACTAGGGATTCTTTTTAAAACAAAAATCTGGAGTAAAAAAAAATGGAGCTGGGGAAGGGAATTTTGTAAACAATAAGACAGGAAGAATTGAAACCTCCAACTAACATACAGTGGTCATCACTATATTTCTATCTGAGAATAAATAAATCTGCATGCTATATATTTAATATTAATCCTTAGTTGATTATCTCAGTTGAATGCCAACTTATAACTTTTAGTTGTCTTCCAGTTGGTCTTATTCTGTGGTTCAAATGGAAGTTTCAGTTTTTTCAAGATAACAACTGCCTTGTGCTTAAATCTAAATAAGCACATTGATTTAGTTTTGCTTTCTATTATGTCATGAAAATCATATCTGAATGTAGGCCCCACAATCCACATTGATTTAAGGGCAGCATATCAAATTTGGAAACTAATTCCAACTGAGTTCACATCATTATGAATAACATACAGATGATGAAAATGTTTATTTTTCCTCTAGGCACTTAGATTTCTTTGAGATGGTTCGAAATGAAGATGACTTGGAACTTGCAAAGAGGTTTGAAATGGTGGGTGTTTCCCTAGAAAGCTTTTGCTGCCTAAGAACTGTTAGTTTGCGTTAGCTACTTCTGTAAATATACCAGATTTTTCTGAGGGACAACGGCACAGTTTTCATATAACTAAATAAAAACGAGAAGTTTTCTTTCTCATATAGACAGAATAAAAAGTATAACAAAGATTATGTTTTTTAAAAAGTTATCTGGTCATTAAGCTAATTTAGACCTTGTCAGGAGCCCATCATTTAACTGGACTATTACGGCAGTGATGGCTTTTACATGTCACAATTAGATTTTTGTTAATTCACACATTTATAGTTTGGGTCTTATGAATATTTGCTGGTTATCAAATAGTTTGCTGGTCCAGATTGCTTACTATGCTTTGCTCACTTAGGAATGAAAGACACTGAATGATCCCAGAGTCCTTTTCCAATACAGTTTTCTTTAGCTCTATTTTAGATCTGCCATCTTTATATTCTGAAATTCTATTTCTGTCTTTACTCTTAGGCTTTGGCCACCTAAAATGGCTTTTTGTGACATGTTCCTGCCATTTGGATATTTGCACATTTGTTGTTCCAATTTCACTCACTTTTAATTTGATAACCCCAGGTTCTGTCCACTTTAAGGGGCTTTAGATCTAGTGCTGGATTCAGCACCATGAATCTTAGTATCTCAGCGGACAGCTCCTCACTCCTCTTTGAAGCAAGCACCTGCTGCAGCCTAGCCCTTTAGTCCTCAATGGAGACCCTTCCTTTATTTGAAGCCTAGAAGATCTAAACAAGTACTCAGTATATCAAAGCCACACTACATTGCGCTACACTGGAATTATTGACATGCTTGTATTTATTGCTTCTTTTCTAAAAAGGCTAGAACATGTGCTAATGTTATGAATGTGTCTCCATAAGTGCTAGTTCCCATCTCCTGTAGTGTTAGTACACAGACAGTGTAGACATAAACAACATTCAGTGTCAGATGTAAGTCCCGTAAAATGTTGATGCATCAAAATAAGGATAGTTTTTCAAATAACAGTAATGGAGTAGAATATAGAAGTTACCAAATACTTTGTCAAGTAAGGTAAAAAGGTAAGCATGATCTATAATATAAGATAAAGGTATTTTATGATAGGTTTGTGAGCAGAGAAACACGAATGTCACCTATTATAAGAGTATGAAAAAGCTACTAAATATGCTATAGTATTTTTTTTCAGAAGCCATATTTCTTATTCCAAGCACAATAGATTCAATTATTGGTTTGTAACAGTGTATTCTTTTTAAATAAATGGTAGATATTTTCCCAATCATTTGTTTAGTTTTTAATAGCAAAAGTAACATATGCATTCTTAATATTGGGAACTGGGAAAAATTGTTAACCTAGAGAGTATTAGTTGAGTATATTGAATCTATTTTGTTCACAACCCTGGACACACCATACAACTATTTGCTTGGAAAATATATTTCCAGAAATCATCAAACCATTTGTATTCCAGAAGTAAATGGAAATTTCCATAATTGCTAGGTCATTCCATCCCCAAACTGATGAATTTTGTGCATCCCTTCTTAATGTATGTTATTGGCTTGTTTTAGATTAAGTAACTCTGACCATAACAAAAATAAAGATAAATTGTGACATCTTGTAGTAATTACCTATAATGTAGTAAGATATTTTCTTTTCTTTCTGGGAATAACTTGGTAGGTGTGAATGGATCTACCATTAAATAGGCATCCCAGTGTCAAGTAGCATTCTAACTGGCATGAGTCTTTTAATAGATACACTCTCCAACAGCTGAACTGAGTTTCAGAAGTGTCACAAATTATTATTTTCTTTTTAAAATTTGGCATTCTCATGCAGACATCGCATAATGCAGCAAATGCAAGGCATAAGCAGGAGATTGCATTTCAGCTTCCAATTTCTTGATGAACATAGATGTTGACAGTTGTTTTCTACAAATTAATATAATGTCACTTGATTCTGCTCACCTTTTTACACTCTGAAATGTATGTGATGTATGATTTGGCTAAACTTGGTCTCATGGTGATGTTTTAATTAGAATTTTTGTTTGCCTTTCTTGGTATTCTGTTGTAGGTACATATTGACACAAAAAGCGCCTCGCAGATGTTTGAGCTGATCAAGAAAAGGTTGAAGCACACAGATGCTTACCCCTATTTACTATCTGTACTCCAGCACTGTTTACAAATGCCGTGTAAGTAGATCATTTATTCTCACAATCAAAGGGAAAATGCTGTGATATGTAAGAAGAAAGTTAGCTGGTGAAACTAATGTCCATGAGGCTAGTGCCAAAAATGTATCCCCTTCAAATTTCATAATGCAGTATGTTGGATGATTACCACATTTTACCATATTACCATTAGGCAGTCTGGTCTATTGATTAAGGCACCAGGCTAGAAAGCAGAAGACTATGAGTTCAAGTCCCACTTTATCTATGAAAGCCAGTTTGCCCAAGTCACCTCACAGGGTTGGGCCAGTTTGCCCAAGTCACCTCACAGGGTTATTGTGGGGAAAATAGGAGGTGGAAGGTATATTGGATATGTCCCTGTCTTAAGTTATTTGTAAAAATAATCTTAGGATACAAATAAATAACATTTTAAGTGTTTTGGCATGGACTGTAATATCACATCATTGTGTATTACAACATAGAACATTACAATATTACAACAAAGGATAAAATCACCTTACTGGAGCAAAATGAGCATTGATATTTTTTTCTTCATCTAGCAGCTGTCCAGTTCCTTGTAGTAGGAATATTTTTCAGCTTTGTTCAAATCCTAAAATGAAGCTGATCTGGACAGATCCAAGGGATATTCTCATGTAGAAGAGTTCCTCAGAAGCGGCAGAGGATGAATCAAAAACTGAAGCTTTATTCAATTTCTTTACAGATTTTGATATTGGTTAAAACCAAAAAATAGGCAGTAACTCCTTTAGTTCTGCCTATAAAGGTGGGAGAAGAGCTGGTAAGCTTTCCAACTATAGCTACGTGGGGTAGAGAATTAGAGGGGAAGAGAAAGTAGGGGTATATTCTTAGTAAGATTCTCCCATTATAGTGTTTTGGAGATAGGAAAGTAAATTAATGTTTTCTGAAACTATTCTGCTATTCACTGTTGTGCATTAGTTTTTTATCCCCAAATCAGAAAATATAAAGGTTTTGGTAGAATCTGTGAGCTTTGCAAGAACTATATGTCATTTAAATATAGATAACATAGTAAGGGGAAAATCTACATTCCCATAGACTGCTCAGAATGGAACAGTCAGGAGCATTTTCAGACCTGGAAAAATAGACCAAATAGATCTTATTAAAATATTGATGGAGCCTACTCCTTCAATCAAATAATCTTGTCTTTTGCATTTCATTTTCCTGATCACTAGGGCAAGATACATGGCATCCTGATATCTCATTGTTGCCAAAGCAATCTTAGCAGGTTCTTTGGCATGCATCTTTGATAGCAAAACACTTAGTCTCACACACTTATTTATAATCAAAGGTTTTATAATAAACCAATACAATCTATCTTTAGTGTGCAGTAGCTGTGCTGGTTCTCCAGCTAGAACCACAGTCTCTTAATTAGAGGTCCAGAAGAAAATGGTTCAGATACAAATTGATTAGTGGCTGCAAAATAGATCCTATTACTACCTTTCCAAGAAAGGAAAGGAAGATATGACCTGTTATTCTTTTGCAAAGTTGAAAGTTAATTCATTAGACAATTTTGATCTTCTGGGAAGCTGATTACTCATATATTCTGACCATGCAGCATGGATTATTTCTCAGACTCACCATTTCCATAGAACTAAAAGGAAGATAGGGATATATTAGCTCACTACAGATTTTTTTGCCTATAGACAGCTGGCTTTCCCAGAACACATTTTCCTGTTCCCATTTAAGACCCCACCCCCCAAACATGAAGCAGCCATTTCATGCTTAACAAGCAATAAAAAGAGAAAAGTTGGATGAAGTCCATCTGGAAGCGAAGTTCATCTTGATTAAATTATTAGATTTTTTTTTCTTTTTTAAAGGAACAAGAAAGAACATTTGTGTTAAGAGTCGGAGGTATGCAGGTTCCACTCTTAATTAACACAGAATCTTGATGAAAAACAAAGCACTGGCCAGATGAACACTCTTGTTATAGTATGGGAAATTCACAGAAAATACTTCATTCCCATCTTACTTCATGGGAACTGATACATAAAAAGTTCTCAAGCCCTAATTGGAAGAACAAATTAGCAATTTCTCTGAAGTATATCGTACAAACTTGGCAATTTTAAATTCATTTAATAATCTAGCAACAACTACATATAATTTGTTTTCACTCAAAGTTAGCCACTAAAATTTAATCAAAAGTGCTAATGGCAAATATATAGTTACTGTGATGACCCAGAGTGTAACACAAACGTAACAAAATCCAAAACTTAAATAAATGTCCTTTAATGCCTCCAGCTTGGCCCCACTGTTCAATAATTCTCAGTTGGAGATAAAAGGCACTCAAAAATAGTCTTCAAAAGAAAGCAATACAGTCTGAACTTAATGAGCAGATAGAGGTGAAAATAAAAACCAAACAAACTACAATGATGAAATTTCCACAATGGACCAGGATAAGTAATTACCAATTTCAAGGAGATAACAAGGCACAGTCTGTTGGAAGGATGCCAACCAATATAACTTCAGCCCAAAATGAAACATGCTTTGCTTCTGGAAATGCTCTGTTGTAATCGTTTCTCTTATATACTAATCTTCCCAGCTGCAACCAATGAGGGGGATCATGGCTGCTTCCTCTCTCACAAGCCAAGTTGTTGCCTTCTCTGTTCCTCCCTGCGTGTCCTAGGATGCAGAGGGGATAGGCCTGGTTCTTCCACTGACTGCCCAGCTGGCCTCTGCCCTTCCCCAGCCTCCTCCACAACCTCCAGAGCCACACCTCCACTCCCTGTCGGCTGTTCCTCCTCTCCCTCAGAGTCCGACTCTACCAAGAGCATGACAGTTACTGACCTCTTGTAGCCCGCTTTAAAATTTGGGCTTGACGTGTTCAACACACTCTTCATACTAGGTCTACTGGCTGCATTTTCTGCCTCATGTTTATGTGTCTGAAGGCAGAACAGTTTTATCTATATAGACAGTCCTCGACTTACGACCACAATTGAGCTCAACATTTCTGTTGCTAAGGGAGACAGTTTTTAAGTGAATTTTGCCCCATGTTATGACCTTTCTTGCCACAGTTGTTAAGTGAATCACTGCAGTTGTTAAAGTAACACTGCTGTTAAGTGTATCTGGAGCCCCCATTGACTTTGCTTGTCAGAAGATCACAAGAGGTGATCACATGACCCCGGGATACTGCAATAGTCATAAATTTAAGTCAGTTGCCAAACATCTGAATTTTGACCATGGAGATGCTGCAACATGAAAAACAGTCGGAATGGCATTTTTCCCCAGTGCCATTGTAACTTTGAACAGTCAATAAATGAACTGTTGTAAATCGAGGACTGCCTGTACTATGGACATACATCAGAAATAACGAATCTGTCATGCTTTGAACTTCAGCTCCTGTCAGTCTAAGCTAGAATAATCAATGGCATGAGATTATGAACTTCTAGAAGGAAATTCTCTAACTTACTATAAATCTCTTCAGCTTGTTTCAACCTGAAATTGAAAATGAATAATACTATTGGCAAGCAGAAGCTGCATACATAAAAGTATCTCTGTGGTTTAATTAAAACTTTGGGCAAGAACTAAAGTGCTCCCCAAAATTATTTGTGGTGTGTGTGTCTTTGTATATGTGTATGGGAGGGAGGGAAGGAGAGGGAAATACGTTAGCCTTGCCAGAGTTCACGTGAAGGTAGTTTAGATGGATATTAATTGCTTTGAGTGAACTTGAAGGAGGTTTTTTTTATTTATCTTATTTGGTCATTGCAAGACTATTCCAAATATTCAGGCTTATGATCCATAATCCTCAGGTCAAGAGCTGAAGTGTGCAATAGTTTATTTTTAATTTTAAAAGGGACTTATCTAAGAGGGAATACTTAGCAGGCTCTGTTTTTTATTTCAGAGGTTCTTCCTCCCCCTTTTTTCAACTTTTCAATTAAATTTACTGGGTAAGTAAAAGCCCATTTTCCATAAGATGGAACTTATTGGCCACAAGCTTTGGGATAACTTGAATATGGAACTTATTGGCCACATGCTTTGGGATAACTTGAATATCTTTCTATAAATTTTCCTTTGAAAGTCATAAAAAGCATAGGAGATAGATAATAGAAATTCATTTATTTTTAAGCAGTATTCATTTTTTATTTCACATTTTCTCAAAAACCAAGTTTTTGAGTTCTTAATCAAGTGAGAACTAATTCTAAGCAAAGGGAAACTGAAGTAGATTCATAAGCACAGTCGCAGTTTCACTTAGCAACTACTTTATTCAATGACTGAGTTGCTGGTCCCAGTTGTGGACACTAAATGAGGATTACTTGTAAATATATTTTTCACATGTGCTCATTTATAACATCCAAAGAAATTACTTTCAGGGGTTTGTGATTAGATCTCTAAGTTTCATTGTGTTTGTGGTTGCAGATAAAAGAAATGGGGGAACTTTTCAACAATGGCAACTTTTAGACAGGATACTGCAGCAAATTGTTCTTCAGGATGAACGAGGGAATGATCCAGATGTATCTACTTTGGAAAACTTCAATGTCAAGAACATCATTAAGATGTAAGAAGCATGAAAACTGGGACTGGATTTTATTCACGCAATATGTTTAAGATAAGGGTACCTTCATATATAAGGTTTCATCTATGTAGAGATAAGATTAGTCAAAATAATGTCCACATTTTTGCCGAGTAAAATTTGCATTAAACTATGCTATAACATTTTGCAATAGAGGGTTAACTTTATCTAAAAGGCTAACAGCAATAACAAGAAATAACCTTAGAAATGAGCTTATTATGCTATTAGTTCCTATTCCTATTATTATTTCCTATTCCTATTATTATAATATGTTCCTATTCTTCTAGGAATATCTCTATTTAATTTTTTTTGGAATGGAGTTTAAATGATCTGGCTTTATCTTCATTCAGGTTGGTAAATGAAAATGAAGTGAAACAATGGCGAGATCAAGCAGAAAAATTTCGGAAAGGTATGTGGTTATTTCATAGGAAATAATGGAATTTAGGCATGTAACTTCAGATAATCTAAAAAAGGACAAAGCTCAGGGAACATGTTTTCTTGTATTACCAGTTTACCAATGGTAAAGAACAGCCGATAATGCCACTTAACATTAGACTGATCTGCCTATTTTAAGTGCCACCCTCATTAAAAAAAACAACCATGCTGATTTTCAGTCTAAAGTGTTTTTTCTTTTACATCTGTAGTAATCTACATCAATATTTTAACGAAACTCTCTTCTCCCCCTACCACCTTATAGTTTAAGTTTTCTGGATTTATTTTATATTTTGGTTCCTTGTGATTATTTAGTTCTCCCTCTGCTGTTTGTAGAACATGTTGAACTGATGAGCAGGCTAGAGAAGAAAGAAAGGGAATGTGACATAAAAACCCAAGAGAAAGATGAAATGATGAAGACGCTGAATAAAATGAAGGACAAGTTGCAAAGAGAATCCCTGGAGCTTCGCCAAACTCGGGATCAAATGAGTGACCTTGTTGTTCAGCTGAATGATTTTTCGGTAGGATATGGGCCCTTTTTCTTCACTTTCTCTAATTTACTTAAACAGAAATATAAGTTTTGAAGTTTTCTGTGAAGAAGGCAACATGTATGGAATCAATACTTATGTTTTTAATTCATTCCAGTGTTTTTAATTCATTCTTGGTCATTGCCTCTGTTTTGTTTTGTTTTGTTTTGTTT